AAACAGAAAGCAGTTACCACTGGAAAAGAAAAATACTTCGATACTCTTGCAGTATGAATTTCTACTCCTCATGCATGTTTATATTCTTGGTATTCTTATAGCACAAGTTTAAAGTATAACCAGCATGTGCTCCTGCAGTTTGAATTACTTACTTTGCTGCCCAAACACCAGCCAGCATCAAACCCTCACATATCACTGATGCACAAGCAAATATTCATCCACCCTGGACTTTGCACACCCTTTATGCAAAGCGGGAAGAAGGACAACTTTCCCTGGCAAGCTGGGGAAAAAAAGAAAATAAGGAGCTATAAATAGCAGCAGCTGTTCAAAGACTTCAGGAGGCTTGGCATGTGCCCGTATGCCCAGCAGAGGTAGCGGACAGTAGAAATGAGACCATTCATCACGTGGACACACAGCTCATCACAAGGGAACAGCCACTGAGCACAGCTTAAACTGCTCCTCCAAAGCAAGAAGTCACTAAACAAACATTAACTAAAGTTGCTGAAATGATGGATCTTTCTGGCAGACTGCAGTACTCCCAGGGGATAATTCAGCTTTGGCTACGTGGGCACACATAAAATCCACCAGCAGCCTGTGCTTGTTTGCAAAACCTTTAAGTCAGTGAAAACGAGAGCCTGTTGCACACCCTAAGGACTTGTCAGCACACGTGTGATTCATGGTAACAGCCTGGCTGCAGTCATCCCCTCCTGCCTTCACTCCTGCCACAGTAAAAACCAAATCCCAGGAACAAGCCCTCTCTCCTTTCCCAGCAAAATTGCCTCAGTGCACTGAGAGCGTGCAGACCGCACAAGGGCCGACCTGGCTTAGCTGTTTCCACAGAGCTGCCGTTGCTTGCCAGTGGTCTTAAGAGCATGAATGCCTGGTTGCACAGCATTAAACCCCAATCTGCACAGGCAGGACATAACGCAAGTTCAGAAGCTTCCAGGGAACCATCCTATTGCCCCACACCAACCACCATGTACCGGATCACCCTTACTGCCCCTAAAGAAATGAGGGATTACTGTAATGTAAAAGCACCTGCATTTTGAGAAAAGACCCAGAATGAACATTTAAAACCAGGAAAAATAAAAGAAACCTATGGGCTACACCATCCTTTTTAACAAGTAAAGGAATTTAACATTAACATTACACACATCCTTTTTAACATTGTAGAAGGACCACCTGATCTGAGCTAATGGTGCTGAGTGACAATGTATCTTCTTTTTCCTTTCCTAGCTTGTCACAACAGTTACTACACTTAGGAGCATGCACTTAATTCCCAGTTTGAACTCATTCACCTTCTGTACCCAGTCATCAATCTGGTCCTGACTTACTAGTTAGCTTAACGAGTCCTCCAGAAAAAGTCACCTGAGCTCCTTTGGTTGCTCATATTAAACACTTCACGGTCTTTGGGTTACTCTCCCAATGTGTTACCACACCTCCCCTGTCCTGCAAGTAAGGGCACAGGAGGTGGGGACAGGACTCAAGTGACGGCCAATTTCCCACTAGGCTGAAAAGCTGCTCCTCAGCCCAGGAAAGGGGTGCGGAGGAACGCTGAGCAGCAGGACCAGAGCTGGGAAACCACATCCACACTCCGGGCTGTGCGTCCTGCTGCCTGGGAGCTCCTGGGGGCTGCTGCCACCTAGAGATGCTCACACAGCGAGGCTGCGTGCTCACTGGCCCGTGCATCCCACTGCATCCCAGCACCAACCCCAGGAAGGGCTGAGCACCAACCCCAGCAGCTCACCGGCTCTGGCCAGTGACTCACATAAAGGTGTTTCTCCAAAAAGCCTTTGAAGATGTGCATGCTCTGGATGACAGGCTCTGCTTTCAGATCAGTGCAAGTGAACTTGCTGAGGTTTGCCTAAATTAAATTAAAACAAAACAAACCAACCAACCAAACCCACAAACTAAAATGCCCTGAAAACTAAAAGAAAACATTTGGTTAAATTAACGTCTGGGTCTAATACCCTGCTAGAAAACTGAGGGCACATTGCAGAACAACTAGCATTACAAATTAAGGTCAGGAGTGCAAAGCTGCACTTGGTGCTCAGCTCAGAGCACCCACAGGGTGCTGGGCCCTCTGCTGCCATGCTCCAAGGGACCAAACATGCCTTTCCCTGTTACCTGTCCTGCTTCCTTACCGTGCACGCCCAGGAAAAGGACTTCTCCTTTCATGAGCTGCTACTGCCAAGTCTCATTTGGTTTACTCATAGGCATGTATTTCAGGTCCTTATTATGACTGTTTTCACGTTAATTACAAGCACAGCTCCTAGTGCCAAAATCCATACACATAAACATCAATTACCATCTCTTAAAAAAAAAAAAAAAAGTCACAGCTAAGTCACTGGGGCACTCAGCAGTGCCAGTACATGGTGCAACCCAGAGCCAAAGCTGCCCCAGGTTCCCTGGGAATGACCCCAAGAGCAGGGCCACATCCAGTCTCCTCTGCCCTGCGGCAGTGCTGGCTCACAGGGCTCTCAGGACACACAAGGACAGTGACAGCCTGCCCTGGTCACCATCCAGAGACCTCTCCACAGATCCCCCACACTGAAGGGCTGCATGGGGGGATAGTGAGGCTTCCAGGAGGGATGCTGAGTCCATAACAGCACCCACTGCCCTTTGGTAAAAAGGCCAAGACGGGACAACCCCTTCGCGGGGGCTGAGCCATACGGAGGCAGTTACAGGCTGAAACTCCCAGTCAATATTTATCGTGCCTTTGGAAGGCACTCAGAGCTCAGCCTAATTTTAACCATCAAATAGACATCCTGGCGGAGTAAATGGGAGAGGTGCCAAAGAGGGCTCCTGCAAAGGAAAGGAGCTGCATCTCTCCAAAAGCATGTGGCATGTCCCATCCAACATGGCTTGGAGAGGAGCAGTGGCATGAAATTAAAGCCTGCCCATACATCAGCTGAACACGCTCCTCACTGGAGGAGGGGGGGGGGGGGGGAAAGGGGGGGGAAGAAAAAGAAAAAAAAAACCCTGCGAAAATATTTGAAGTAAAATTAATTTCTCAGAGCAGCTGAATACTTCAAATAGCACTAAGTTAATTTGGCTATAATTATTTAACAACTCACCAGCCCCATATATCAGAAAATGGAGTTAATTTATCAGCTATTTCCAAGCAGAACAAAGACTTGCCAGCTTTCAGGTAACAGCCCAAGCTGTTTGGCTCACGTGACCCTGGCTGAGCTGTACACTGCAAACATTATATGCCCAAGCACGGAGACAGAAGAAATCAGAAAACCCCAATGTATTCACGTATTTGCTTCTTAACTAGCACACACGGGATAATGAAATCAAAAGTTTGGCCAACAGCTTGCTTGCATGAACAAAGGCATCAGCATCTCTCGATGCACTGAAAATGAGGGCGGCAGCCAGAGCCTCATCCTAATGCCCCCAAAAGCCAAGCGAGCCAAATATACAGGGGGTCCTAAATACTTGCAAATCATGGCTCCCTGTCCAGCCTGCCTTGCTATTTCAGCAAGCACCAAGACTCAATCTAGCAGCCAGTGCCTAGAGCAGTGCCCAAACTCCTCCAAACAGGAAATGTCTCTCCAACCCTGTTATTCTAATAAACGGATTTTCTGTTTTGCACAGTGCAGGGCACAGAGGCTTTTCAGCAGCACAGATCCAGGAGGCTTCCCCAGAGGCAGCAGGAAGGCAGGCAAGAGACCCTAGACCAATGCTTTTTATTTTCACTGAGGTATAAATCCAGTCTTTGTGACAGTCCACTCCAACAGCCAGGTTCGAACAGTGGGAAGCAGAGCAAGGGAGAATCCAGTGGGGACGGCTGCTGCCTGAAACGGGGGCAGGCTATGGGGAAAGTGCGATACAGAAAAGTACCAAATCAAGGGAAACGACACGCTGCGTGTAAACAGGCAGGCAAAAAGGTACAGCGAAGCAGAGCCTGTGAAACAAGGAATGCCATTCTCCTTCAGCTGGGATTTACCAATTCAAACTGCAGGAAGAGAACACATAAGAGAAAGCAATAGCCAGCCCAGCTTTTCAGCCCTCCTGATTTCGAGGGTTAGGAAACAATCAGACGCAGAAAAAGTAAACTGTGCCCCAAGATCAAAAACCGCCTGCGAAGGCCAACCAGGCAGGCAACGCCGGGACACGCTTCTTTTGCTTCTCACCAAACGTATTCTCCTCTCTGTTACATAAAGCCGCAAAATATAAACTGAATTGTGAGAACGAGGAGCTGTTGCACCAATACCGCCCAAACATCATAAATTTTGCATCAACAGGGAGGGAAGGAAAAAAATCCAAAATAGTAATAATAATTAAAAAAAGCAAAGTTACAGAGACTGAAGAGACTTCCTTTTAATGTTTTATTCACAGCAAAGGGGCGATGCGGCGGGGGGCGATCCCCGTGCCCTCCCCGGGCAACTGAACCGGCACAGCCCGTACTACGGCGGCGGAGAGCGCTGCGCCGATGCCAACGGGAAAACAAAATTCAAGACAACGCTACAAGTTTCCCTCCAGAAAGTTAAAAATTCGGGGCAGACCCTGCCAGAGGAAAAAGCGCCTTTTCCGGCGTTAACTTCCAAGCCGCCTGCTCGCCCTCCCCTGTGCGCAAACACCCTCGGACCTGTGTTTACGCTGCGGTGTTGGGACACGCCGTACGGACTAATGCACAGGTGTGAGGGGAATGAACGCTGCCTCGCCCGCCCGGGGAGGCGCGATGGGAAGTTCGGGAGCGCAGCCCCGTCGGAGCATCAGCAGCACCTGCGGGGACACGCACCGCGCCCGGCCGGGGCTCCGGCGAGGAAGGGCGGCCCCAGGGCCGGGCGGGGACAGCGAGCGGGGACACCGAGCGCTTCTGCGCGGGCGATCCGCGGCCGCCGGCTCCGCTCCGCTTCCCGCGGGGGACTGTCGCCCTCTGGCCGCCGCCGCCGCCGCTCCGCGGGACCCGCGCGAACTCCCGCACCCCGCGGGACCCGGAGAAGTTGTCGGTCGGGCGCCGCCCCTCCCCGCGGACCCGGCCGCTCACCCACCTGCCTGCGCCGCCGCGGCGACCCGCGGGGCCCCGGCCGCCGCCGCCAGGACGCAGCAGCTCCACCACAGCAGCCCCCCGGCCGCCGCCGGCATCGCGCCGCCGCCGCTGCTGCCTCAGCGCCGCCGCTGCCTCCCCGCCGCCATCCCCCGCGCAGCCTCCGCGCTGCCGCCGCCGGCTCCC